GTGCAACTTCTTACCCAAATTAAAAGTTCTTACTGTATTCTTGAACGGGTGACCACGTGCGAGAGATAAGCAATTCTTATCTCACACTCCCTTGAACCCAGAAAAGTTTAACTCATCAAGAAACACCTGCCAGATAACCAAGCCAACTGAGAGAGTTGCTGGCAAACTCACAAATGGCCAGAAATGCCTCTAAGGTACTGATTAACTTCACCCATCCTGTGTTTGCCTTTGCACCCACTCTCAAATTAAGGGTGCTGCAAAGTTCGGATGGCAAATTCATCCTGCTGCAGAAGAGAGGGGAGGGCAGGATGCTTCTGTACCAGTTCTCTGCTTACCTCTCTTCAGCAAATGGAGGGGTGCCATTACAAAATAAATAAATCAATCTTTTTGTGAAAAAAAATCTATTTACTAAACTGGTCATCTTCCCAATTATTGATTTTAAGAGCATTTTATGTCAATCTGGAAATAACATGTTTTAGTTATTACTCATCTCCTCCCTCCTACAGTTAATAACAACATAAAAGACTGAGAGGTTTTTGGGTTGGTTTTTTAAACAATTTTTACCTCACAGCTTCTCCCCCTGCTCTGAAGCTCAAATGTTTTGGTTTTTCTGAAAAGTTAAAGTGCCTGAAAGAAAACTACTTATTCAGTAGTTTCTCTATGCAAGCAAGAAGTGACAGACATTGGTAAAGTGGGAAAAACAAATAAAAAGGAGCTTCAGAGATCACTGCCTCAGCTGCCAGGTCAGCTTCTCTCAGTGACTCTGCTTGGTGACATTGTAGACTGTGGATATTCCTGCTAGCTCAGAAGAGCTTGTTCATCTGCCCTTTCCGCTTGCCCTGATGGTCTCCTGTTCTGTCCTCGGAGTAACTCTCTGAGCATCCATGTCTTCAACCACAATGAAATTTGTTAAGGCTGTTTTCATTTGTTACTGTGGTGTTGCAGTTGTTCTCATCAGATGTGCCTTCCCTGGCCAAGGCGTAAGACAGGACACATCAATCATCAAGAGAAAAGTCCTAAGAAATTTGATTAGCATGTTGAGGAGCTAGTTCTTCACAGAATACTGAGGAGCTCCAATGACTTAGCACAGGAAAGGGTCACTGCATTTGGCTTACAAGCAACAAGAAAAAAGCCCAACACAACAAAAGACCCATTAAAAAACCCAAACAATCCACAACCCAGAGCAGTAAATCATTAACTAGGAGATTGTGACAAAGCAGCACAACCCAACAGATAAACGGATCTGCTTCATTCAAAAGCATTTTCAAGCTATAGCCTGAAGGAGACGACTTTCAGTCTGTAGCCTGACGACTGGACCATGACTTGGCAGCTTTGCTATGCCTGGATTTTTATCCTCCTCCTTCTTCCTGGCCTCTCAGATGGAGGGAAACTCCTGGTGATGCCCATGGTTGGAAGCCACTGGCTTAGCATGGAGCAAGTGGTTGAAAAGCTCGCCGAGAGAGGACATGAAGTGGTGGTGGTTTTACCAGAAGTCAGCTGGCAGACGAAGACAACACAGACATACACAGTGAAAACATACCCAGTGTCTCAGACGCTAGAGGAGCTGGATAACGCCTTTCTTACATATGTTGCCACTCACCTGAAGGACCAGCCTTTCTTCCCACTGAACACTGCAGCACTGTACAACGCCTCAGTGCATGTTTTCAGTACTTTCTTTGTTCAGTGCAAGGACCTGTTCAACAGCAAGGAGATCTTGCAGTACTTGAAGCAAAGCAGCTTTGACGCAGTCCTAACAGACCCTGTTTTTATGTGCGGACCAATACTTGCTAATTATCTTTCTCTTCCGTATGTGTTCTTCATGAGAGGATTTCCTTGCAACTTACACTATGAAGCACCGCAGGCCCCCAGCCCTCTGTCCTACATTCCAAGACTATTTACCTTCAACTCGGACCACATGACTTTTTTCCAGAGAGTGGAAAATGCACTGGTTGCCCTCCTGGAGCTCGAGTACTGTAATGGTTTCTATGAAGATGCGATAAAGTTTGCCTCTGAAGTTCTTGAGAGAGATGTTTCCCTGCTAGACCTCATAAACTCTGCTTCCATTTGGCTTCTGAGATACGACTTTGTGTTTGAGTACGTCCGACCGGTGATGCCCAATATGGTCTTTATTGGAGGTATGAACTGTGCTAAGAGGAAACCACTGTCTAAGGTATGTTCTTTTTCCTCCCAATCATACATTTTCCAATGAAATGTGATTACATAATTTCTGGAATTTTAGTGCTATCATATTTTTTTTTCCTGGTAACGATTTAATACAACCAGGTTTCGGCAGTTGTTTTCCACTGGCTGAAATCAAATTACCCTGATGGAGGCAGATGACTTATTTGAATTAATGAGGATTTTCTGACAAGTCCAGGAAAGCATGGACTTCATCCACCATCTACAATTTACTGTTCTCAGTGAAAGTATATTATTCACCAACCAGACACAGTTTTGATTTAATTTGCGTGGAGCCTGGCATACATTTCTTTGGGACCAAAAAGCCAAAGACCACGCTCTGAGAGTCATCTTTTGTTTTAAAATATAGGCTCAATCAGAGTTAATTTATTTTGGTTGTGTTTTTATGAAATACTGTTTCCAAGTTGGCTGTCTATGTTAAAGTTATTTTTGCTGGTAGATCATGGTGAAACATAAATGTCATGTTGAAATAGGAAAAATTAATCTAAAATAGTGTATTTGATGACAGACACATGTATGCAAAACTCTTAAGTTTCCATACTTATTCCTTGACATTTGCTTTTACCAGAATTGCTCTGCAGGGTTTTTAAAGCTAATCTAGAAATTTAAATCTATTTTGATAGTTACTATATAGGCTCTGCAACAATTAACAGCACTACACAGTTATTTCCAGGCACAATGCAGGACACAAACATCTTTCCTTTGAAATTATTCCCTCAATTCTGAACTGTGGTCACACAAATACCACTGCACAACTGCAATACAGTATCCTTGAGCTGAAGCTTTTTTTCTTTCTTCTTTCTGATTTTTTTATACTCTTTAACAGGTTTATGCAGAGTCTACCGAACTCAATAAAGAATAAGGCAAATAATAATGTTATAAATCAGGCATTCTCTCACATTAGGTTCAAGAAAGTGGCACTTCATAGTTTGAGATTTAAGAGGTGAATTCTTACTGGTTGCATGACATAAGTCTTTACTTCTGTATCTTAAAGGTCTCACAGCTACAGTTTGTAACTTGCTACAGGAGTAGAACCATCCTGCCCTTATTTTATACTTGGCATCTCCCATCTTCACACTGACATTTGTCATTTGGTGGAAATCATATATTCCAAATCTTGATAATCCTCGTGTATTCCTCCTGTCTTCAGTCTGGCTTTTCTAGTTTTCTACAGACAGCAGAGGAATTTCTCCTATTTCACTTTGAACAGTGGCCAGCAGCAAGGCGATAAAGCAGTAGAGTATAAACAAATGTAAAGTGAATCATACGGGAGAAAAAAATCTACATATCCATACACAATGGTAAGCCCTGGGTTGATCATTACTGTTTAGAAATATAATATGATAAGAATAGATAGTTCTCTGAAACCTGATGGTAGCCCATTGCTCAACAGACAAGAAAACATAAAGTTAGTATGGCTAGGAAAGGGAGAGAGAACACGAGATTGAAAATGTGGTTTCTTTTCTCAGCCAAAAAGCTTAAGCTATAGGCCTTTTTTTATACCACTTGCCATAGTTTTTCACAGGCAGAAAAATCAGGCATTGGGGCCTCATTCCAGAAAAGGGCTCCTTTCTGCCATATCTCACATGGTCCTGTGGAGTACCTGCATCTGGGTGCTGAGGAGCTTGTGCTTTTGCAGAACTGGGAGTATGTATCTTAGCCAGCAGAGAGTTGAGAATTAAATCCCAAATTCCTTGATCCTCCTGAGCCATAAGGATCATCCACAGCCTTTAGTGCTTTCATATAAAAGGGAGTGGGAGAATGTGCAACCACAGGACTGCGCCTGGGGGAACACAAACTGCTCTTACTCATTGACTGCAAGATGACTGCAAGGGTTGTGTCAGGCTGGGTTGCCTCTTGTCCCCACTTTGCATAGGCATCTATCTCAGTAGCAATTACATCTTCATTAATAGACACAAAAATCCAGTTGCCAAGTCCCACTGTGTCTGGAGGTTTAATACAAGGCTCGCAGGAAATCTAACCCAATGTCCTGGCTGAGCAGAAGTACTTTGCCAACTCATCTTCTAATGACTCCAGAAGGACCCGAAGGCTGGCATGGTAAGTGGTCTGTCATTAGGGGGACATCACAAATGAACTCAGACTGTGAGCCCCGAGACACTTTGATGAGTATCTCATCTTAAGCCAAAGTTAATGCAAAGTTGCTTTTTTGCGCAGCTCATAAGAACAAAGTTCATATGATTTTATCAAAGCAAAGTTCAGAAGCGTAAGCTATTGCAAACTTTCAAAGGTGTTCCTTTTTTTTTAAACACTCATTACTTATTTAAACAACTGGTTAACTTAAAACATTAAAAGAAACTCTGATTGAAGTAGGTAATTAGTCACATAACAGAGGAGTATAACTGAATAAAGACCCTGTGGTTTGTTCCTCCATCACAAGTATTAAGAAAACAGGTCCTGCTCTGAAACCCTCCTGCCAGAGCCAGCAGCATCTGGGAAGTAGTAGTCACTGAAGCAGCGGTCATCATTCTGTTCATGAACCAAATACTACAGTCAGGTTTTATTTTCATGCAATATTCAAGGTGTTGAACCTAGTGGAAGCTCAGAGCAGCCTGATACCACGGCAGCATGTTTGTTATGCTTTCATAAAGTTGAGCACCTTTAAAGCTGACAATACTGTTCATCTGTCCCATATTGCAATGGCAAAATACACAACATCGGGCAAGTACAAGCAGCACTAGTTTTGAAAAAGAAAGTTTAACCATCATGCACCGTACATCTTCAGTGCCCGGTATGTACTAACCTGAAATGGCTGCTCTAACCAAACAGTTCAATCTCACTGTCCTCTTCAGTTAACTCTTATACACATCCCTGTGCCTCTCATATTTTGAATAAGAGATACTGAAGGATACTGAAAAACACAGTTCTTTCAACAAGAATTCCCTCACATCAAATGGAACTACTGCCCTAATTTCCCTTTCCAGAGGAAATCTGTTTTCTGGCTAAATTAACACAGCTTCTCCAATGTGAGTCTGTGTGAGCTGGCACAGGCAGGACACAGGAACAACCACAGAATCGTGGATGAAATGCAAAGAGCAAGTTTACTCTCCTTACCTCATGAACTGGGGGATCTCTTGAAACAGCACCCGGTCAGGGGCACACAAGCAGGGCTGCAGGCACTGTGGAGCTCAGTCCTGGTTAGAGAAAACAGGACATTTCAAAACTGCTGCTTTCACCTGTACATCAAGGAGTTTTTACAGGTGTAGTTTTCCATTGTTGTGCTTTGATCTTTCC